TAGGTTTCGCGGTTTTCTGCAAACAACGGATTGTCCATTATGAACACCTTCGAGCATTGAAAAGTGCACCAGTACACCTGGTACCGGGAAGCTTGTGCACAGAAGACGATGATCGATTTGATAATCGTATCGTCTGACCGATGACGCTCAGTAATGGATGTTAGCGTTAAGAAGCGCAGAGCTATCAACCGATCATCACCTTGTTGTTGGCACGCTGCGCTGTAAGAAATGCAACACCATTCGAGAATCTGGTGGCAGAAGCAACCGGAGAATCAAACTGGAGACATTATCTTCGGTAGACACGAGAGCGAAGTTTCTAGACAACATTGCACGACGGGTTGAATAGATCTCGGTAATGACAACTGATGTTGAAACCGAGTGGCAGCTCTTTAAGAGCGGCATACTCGAAACTGCCGCCGAATGCTACGGATTCAAACGGTTGACCTGCCGCCTGGAGGTCAGTAAAAATGTTCCTGGTGAACAGGAGAGGTACAACTGATAGTTAAAGAGAAGGCTGCGTTCAAGAAATGGCTTGAAGACAAGGAGCCGTCTACTCGCGTGCGATATGTCGAGGCACGCAAGACGGCAGCCGTAGCAGTGGCAAAAGCCAAAGCTGCTTCCAAGGATACGTTCGGTGAGGTGTTGGAGTCGAATTTCCACTCGGCAAACAAGGTATTCTGGCAGAACTCCGCCGGTTCGGAGGTGAAAAGAAGCGCTAAGAGTCTTGAAGGACAGGTCTTGACATCCTCTTACAAAGGACGATGATATTTTTCGGCGATGGAGAGTACTTTGAGGAATTCCATAATCCTGAGCAACCGCAGGAAGACTTGCCTGTAGAGCGGCTGGCAGTGGATGTTACTATCTCTATAGATGAAATTGCGCACGCTGTGTAAAGCTTGAAAAATGTAAAGGCTGCTAGAATTCATGAAAACCGCCTTGAAATACTCAATGCATTAGGCGAACAAGGTGTGTGTCTGCCAAACTGCGTTGACTACCCGAAAGACATCAGCTGAGTAAAGAATGGGAGCTGTTGTGCCTCATTCATTCAAGGATTCAAGAATGAAAACCACAGGGAGTAATCGAATAATAGGGGCATAACGTTATTGAGCTTCCCATGTAAAGTCTACGCAAAGCTGCTAGAAAAGAGGTGCCGCGGAATAAGTGACTCCGAGATACAAGAAGTGTAGTGTGGCATTCTTCTCTGTCGCCTCTCTGATAATGTATTTACCCTGCGCGAGACTGCTGAGAAATCGTGGGTGTACGCCCGTCCGCTGTACATGTTTTATTGACCTGGAAAAAGCCTATGACCGGAACCCGTCCAACAGTCTGTGGTCATGCCTTCGAGCATACAGAATAGATGGCCAGCTGCTAAGGGCCATCGAGTCACTGTATTCTGATAGCAAATGCTGCGTCGGAGTAAATAGCGTTAAGTCGAAACCATTCAACGTTGACATTGGTCTCCGCCAAGGCTGCGTCCTGTCCACTATCCTGTTTGTGTTGTACATAGTTGGAATAGTCAGTAGCTGCCAAGGCGATGAGTGTAGGAGATGTGAAGATGAGATGTTTGAAGACAATCTTGTTTTTTGGCATCTTCTGAAACTGATCTACAGTACTCCTTAGAAAGGTTCGTAGCGAAGTGCGACGTACTCGGCATGCGTGTGAACGCATCTAAGACGAAAACACTACTGCTTCCTCATTCTGCTGCCCGATGCTTTCTTCAGATTAACGGAAAGGCAGTGGAGCAGGTGGAGAAGTTTAAGTATATCGGAATAGTATTTACTAGTGATGGAAAACTGGAGGAAAAGATCGACCGGCGAATTGGAGCAGGCGGTGACGTTCTGCGTGAAGTAGCCCGATCCATTGTGAGTAAAGCAGAGCTAGTATGAAAACCAGGCTCTCGGTGTTCAAGTAGATCCTTATACACATGCTTCCCTACGGTCATGAGTCGTGGACCATGACTGAAAAGCTTCGAACACAGGTACAAGCTGCTGAAATGGGGTTTCTTAGACGAGTCGCAGGCCTTACGCGTCTCGACACGATCCAGAATACAGACATCCGCAAGAGCCTTGGTGTACAGCCTCTGCTTCTCCAGATTGAGAATTCACAGCTGCGATGGTTTGGCCTGCTAATAACTCCAGAGAGGAAGGCTAAGCAACTCTTTCTTGCGACACTGACCGGCAGAACGCCCATAAGACTGGCAGGATTAACCTTGCGCCAATATATGGAAGAAATCTGTTCCAGATTCCAATTGTCTTCCGCCGTGACTCAAACTCTGGCACAGGAGCGGAAACGTTGGAAGCTCTGTCTGACGCGTCTGCCTTCGCGACGCGGAATATGAAGCGGCCATAGAAGATGAATACGAAGGCAGCGCCACTGCAGCACAAAACAATAATTTGACTGACAGCCACTAAACAGCTAAGATACTCCAGAGACTCTGAAGTTACAGAAGACAGTAATTTTGAACTTATGAAAAGGGTCAAATCTCGCAGCATAGAGTTTAAAGAGATATACAGCAGCGCGACGGGAATAAACGGAGTTTATACCAATTCCCGGTGTGATCTTTTTTTAATGCCACAGAAAGATCATCCATGCTACATGGAGCGCAATTAACGCCGTCTTTTGCAAATACTTTAACGACCAGGGACTGTTTCTTTATCCTGCAACTGCATTGAGGTTACAGCAGGATATCATAAGCGACAAACTAGTGCAGCAATTGAGTTTAACCGAATCCAAATACCATACCGAGCTGAGCACCGTACAGATGACAGAATAGGAATGCAACACAGAAATATCACAGACGATTAAAACGTAATTTGAAGTACCATAAAATTCATAAAACTGTATCTGACAACAACGAAGGGGCGAATTCGACGAAGTAATGTCGCTATTCTTTGACACTAGCTTTATCGTCATTTTCTTCGCCACGACTCTTTCCATTTAATATTTTTCCATTTTCCCTGCTAGCCTCGAATAGTGGGTTGCTGATTTCCAGATTACCGGTCTGAAATTGAACGAATTAAAGCAGAAAAACGACAAATGACGATCAGCTCACCGGTGCCAAACCAGGACATTCGTAAACTGAGTAGTCGGTTGGATCTTCATCTGCTTCTGACTCGTCCGATTCCGGTTCTTTCGGCTCGCTGGTAGGGCTACAATGACAAATTCATATTACACACAATAAAGCTAACTCCGCAGTTGCCGATCCAGAGCCCTTGTGAGAAAGGAGGTGAGGAAAGTTAAAGACCGCGGCGAGGTCTCCACAAAAATAGCCACCTGCCCTTCATGGCATAGCCGTCATCGAACATTATACACTCGGCCTTCGTCCGGGTTACCAAGAGCCGCGCAGCGTACTGGGGGTCTGAAAGGAAGGAAAAGGAAAGTTGATCAACGTTCAATGCGGATTTTAATTCACTTTCATGATTTGACCAATTTGGCGCCATTCTTTTCATGAAGGTGATGGTGCACTGCTGATCTCGGTTTCTATGTCACTAGCCAGGAGTGTTTTCTTTTCTAAAGGCTGAGTCTACAGCAATGTGGCAAACGTAGCGCACAGTCACCTGTTTCATTCCCACATACCGGTACTCAATTATCAACATCAGAAAGAAAAAAAGGGGGACGGACCCTGACTGGGGCTAAAACTCAGGACCTAACGGTTTCAGTTC